GCTGCTGCCACTCCTGTTTTCAGACACAGGGCCCACGCCAGCAAATGTGCCAGTCTCCCTTCACAGCCTCCCCCGCAGACCTCACACAGACTCGTCAGCACCCGAAAACCCCTCTGCTGGCCCTGTATGCTCCCTGGCCTTCACATTTGGTCCATGAGTTCTTTCTAGATTGGAGGAAGCAACCTTGTTTCTCTTTCTGTTCCAGCTTCTGTCCCAACTCAGGGCCCTTTGTCCTGGGTTGGTTTGGATTCAGCTGCCCCGTTCCTGGGGAGTAGCTGTGGCCTTGAGTTCTCCCCTATCAGGGAAGCTCCCACAGCTCCCAGCTGCCCGGTTTGGCTCTTGCCCACTGACAGTACATTGATCTACCTCCATCCTCAGAGCCTCCCTTGTGGTCCTCGTCCTGTGCTGCTCTGTCTGCCTTGGCCCTTCAACGTGTCCTCTCCAACCCCTTTCTGTCTTCCTGTCCTCTGCCCCCGGATTCTCCCGACCCTCTCCAAACTCTGACCTCCTCTCTACCCACATGACTGCATCTCCATCCCCTCCCCCTCTGAGGGCTCCTTGCCTCTTACACTCTCTGTTCTTTGCAGGTTTCCCAGTTCTTGGTGTGTGAGGAGCTCCCCCCGGGGGGCCCAGAGCTCCCTCAAGATGGCCCTACTCGACGCCTCTCCCTGCCGGGCCAGCTGGGCGCCCTCACCTCCCAGCCCTTGCACAGACACGGCTCAGACCCAGGCAGTTAGTGGGGCGGCCCGGTGTGGACACGTGGCTCACCTCGGGTTCAGCACATGGCCTGGGCCCCTCCCCTCGGAGGCCCTGCCCAGGAGGCCCTGGCCACGAAGGGGAGAGGAACTCAAAGGGGAGAGGAACTCAAGGCACAGCCCCTCCCCAGCTCTTGGGACCATCTCCTCCTGCAGTGGGAGGGGCAGGGGCAGGGCTGGGCAGTGGACGGGGGTCTGTGGTTCCCCCACTGCTCTGGGGGCAGTAGCTGGTCTAACTGCCTGGTGACACCCCGCCCTAGGCCTTAGGCACTCAAGGACTTTTCTGCTATTTACTGCTCTTATTGTTAAGGATAATAATTAAGGATCATATGAATAATTAATGAAGATGCTGATGACTATGAATAATAAATAATTATCCTGAATTGACTCCAGTGGTGCTGGAAGGGCGTGGCATCAGCATACAGTAGCCTGTGTTCACGTTCACATGTGTCCGTTCGCACCGGCCTCTGCAGGAATGCACGTGCAGGGCCTGCGGGGGCTGCCTCGCTGAGTGTGGGGTATGCGTGGTGGCGGGTATCCCTGGGGCTGACACAGGTCACTGCCAGGGTTTCCTGCCTCTGTGGGGCCCTGGATTCAGGGAGGCAAAGAACCACCTGAACTGTTTGAATGTAGAGGCAGCCCTGATGGGATGCAGTCCTGATGGGATGTAGTCCTGATGGGAGGCAGCCCTGATGGGATGCAGTCCTGATGGGGTGTAGTCCTGATGGGAGGCAGGCCTGATGGGATGCAGTCCTGATGGGAGGCAGTCCTGATGGGAGGCAGTCCTGATGGGAGGCAGTCCTGATGGGAGGCAGTCCTGATGGGAGGCAGTCCTGATGGGAGGCAGTCCTGATGGGAGGCAGTCCTGATGGGAGGCAGTCCTGATGGGAGGCAGTCCTGATGGGAGGCAGTCCTGATGGGAGGCAGTCCTGATGGGAGGCAGTCCTGATGGGAGGCAGTCCTGATGGGAGGCAGTCCTGATGGGAGGCAGTCCTGATGGGAGGCAGTCCTGATGGGAGGCAGTCCTGATGGGAGGCAGTCCTGATGGGAGGCAGTCCTGATGGGAGGCAGTCCTGATGGGAGGCAGTCCTGATGGGAGGCAGTCCTGATGGGAGGCAGTCCTGATGGGAGGCAGTCCTGATGGGAGGCAGTCCTGATGGGAGGCAGTCCTGATGGGAGGCAGTCCTGATGGGAGGCAGTCCTGATGGGAGGCAGTCCTGATGGGAGGCAGTCCTGATGGGAGGCAGTCCTGATGGGAGGCAGTCCTGATGGGAGGCAGTCCTGATGGGAGGCAGTCCTGATGGGAGGCAGTCCTGATGGGAGGCAGTCCTGATGGGAGGCAGTCCTGATGGGAGGCAGTCCTGATGGGAGGCAGTCCTGATGGGAGGCAGTCCTGATGGGAGGCAGTCCTGATGGGAGGCAGTCCTGATGGGAGGCAGTCCTGATGGGAGGCAGTCCTGATGGGAGGCAGTCCTGATGGGAGGCAGTCCTGATGGGAGGCAGTCCTGATGGGAGGCAGTCCTGATGGGAGGCAGTCCTGATGGGAGGCAGTCCTGATGGGAGGCAGTCCTGATGGGAGGCAGTCCTGATGGGAGGCAGTCCTGATGGGAGGCAGTCCTGATGGGAGGCAGTCCTGATGGGAGGCAGTCCTGATGGGAGGCAGTCCTGATGGGAGGCAGTCCTGATGGGAGGCAGTCCTGATGGGAGGCAGTCCTGATGGGAGGCAGTCCTGATGGGAGGCAGTCCTGATGGGAGGCAGTCCTGATGGGAGGCAGTCCTGATGGGAGGCAGTCCTGATGGGAGGCAGTCCTGATGGGAGGCAGTCCTGATGGGAGGCAGTCCTGATGGGAGGCAGTCCTGATGGGATGTAGTCCTGATGGGATGCAGTCCTGATGGGATGCAGGCCTGATGGGATGCAGGCCGGGGTCCAGCCCCTCCAGGTCATGTTGCTTTGCTGCCTGGTACTGGTTCTCAAAGCCCTTCCCACACTGACCACTAATGCAGCCATGCTCTTATCTCCTACACAGTTCATAAACCCAGTCATGCTGACTGTAACCTGCAGCTGGATTTGGCCTAAGTCTTGGCCCATGACCCCCAGTGGTTCTCAACCTTCCTAATGCTGCAACCCTTTAATACAGTTCCTCATGTTGTGGTGACCCCCAACCATAAAATTATTTTCGTTGCTACTTCATAACTGTAATTTTGCTACTGTATGAATCGTAGTGTAAATATCTGATATGCAGGATGTATTTTTATTGTTCGCGACCCACAGGTTGAGAACCGCTGCTTAAACCCTCAACCTGGCCTTATGTTGACCTCAACCCAGATTCTCATGGACCTTATATATGCCAACCCCGCTCTGGGCACACTGGATTCCTAGCCCTGACTAGAGCTTCCCTGGTGTCTGGCTGCAGGTGGGCTCACCTTTATCACCTGATCACCTGTGATCCTTGATCACAGATGAGCTGCTGAAAGAGGGTGGCTCATTCCCATTATTGGGGTAACAATTCAGAACACGTTCTGGGCTAGTGAAGGGTGGTGCCCTCACGTGTGCGCAAGTGTGGGTGGGCAGGTGCGTGTGGGCTGCTGGCCCCGAAAGGACACCCAGTCTCTCTGAGGAGCAAGTGCATTAGTCAGCTCTGCTGGTGGGCGAAGGTGCTGCCAAAGGACTCCAGAGTCCACCTAGTCCCACAACCCTTGACCCTGTGAGGTGACTTTGTTAACCTTGATTAAAAGTCAAACTCGGCCATGTCACTGCCAGGGATGGGGAGTGCTGGGAGGAGAGACCAGGTCTCTGAGCAGCCTGGAGGGGTCTTTGCTGTGTCCAGGGCAGATAGGAGAGAGGGGAAGAATTTCTCTTATCCAGACAGTTGTGCACCAGGGCATAGAGACAGGAGAAGTATGTGACCCTGGGGTCAGGGTAGAGAGGGACGGCAGAGAGAGGTGGGCCAGGCAGAAAGGGTGATAGTAGCCTGTGAGCCTGGGAGAAGGGATGCCTAAGAGGCAACTGATGCCTGGGCCTCAGGAAGGGAGAAAGGAGGAGGTGGGCCCCACTAACTGCCTAGGGCCCACCATGCAGCCACTGTGCATCCTAGGACAGGTCCGGTCAGACAAATGGGCTGTTCCCTCTGCTGGCCTGCAGGCAATGAGATGTGGGCTGTCAGCTCCGTGAGGCGGAGGTGTAATGCCTGCCACCGGAACATGCTCAGTTGAACGAACGACTGAATGGATGAATGAAAGCAGCGCCCTCCTCCCTGGGACAGAGGCCTTTGGGCGGAACAGGCAGGACTGCGGGAGGCCTCACATGGCTGGTGGGAGCAGAGAGGGGCACCTTCCCAGGGCTCTGGTCCCTCACCCTGGTGACCATATCTCTGTGTCTGTCCTTAGGCCTGCACCAGACCTGCGCCCTGGCCTCCCCTGTGACTTGGGCTCGCAGAGCCACAAGAACTTTGGTGATGGGGTGGGGCCAGGGTGGTGGTGTAGTCCTCTCCTCTCCTGCAGGGTTGGGCACCAAATTGCTGGGGGGGCTGTTGTCCAGAACTGAAGGTTCTCCCAAACTACGAGGGCCAGTGAGGCGGGGTGGGAGGTGGAGGAGCTGTGTTGGGTAAGGAAAGAGTTCCATGTGGTTGCCAGCACCCAGGAAGGGCTTAGAGCTGGAACACAGTCAAGGGTTGAGGCTGGAACCAGAGGGACAGGACCAGGCTGCCTCCCCCACCTCCACCTGTGCACCAAGGGCCCGGGAGCTGAATGAGGCCCTGGTGGTGTGTTCCGGCCTCATGACTCAGCCTCTGCCCACAACCAGGTGCAAGCTCCACACCTGTCCTTACCTGGACTTCTGCCCCTACTCAGCCCAGGCAGCCCAGCTCTCACATTTCATTGACAAATAGGAGGAACTGATACTCAACACATCTTTTGTGGCCAGTACTATTCCTATTGTCTGAAACCAAAGGCTGAGGCTGCACCCAAGGACACACAGTAAGTTGCCTGAGCCCACAGCTTCTGAGAACAGAGCTGTAGTGAACCAGGCGGTCGGAACCACCACCTGCTGGCTTAACCCTTGCTCACACGGCTTCCCTTGCTCAAGGGACAGTGACTAGGAGATAATTGCAAGGTTTTGGGCTTTCTAGAACCTTCTCTCCCCTGCAGACTTTTGTACTTCTGCTCCTTTGCCTGGAGCACCCTTTGCTTGGTGAATTCTTGCTGGTCCTCAGGGGACTCTTCTAAGAAAGGCTCAGAGCTCCCCTCCGTTGGGCTGGGAGCTTCACTGTGCAACCTTCCCACCCTCTGCTCTCCTCACCTCGCTCTCAGTACACAGGACTGCTGGATATGGGGGATTCATTACCTCTGTGCTACACTCTGTCCCCTCCAGAGCCAAGCACAGTGGCTCCTCAAAGAGTAGGCACTCAGCAACTTACTAAATGCATTTGGGATTTGATTACTACTAACATCCTTAACATTAAAAGGTACTTGACAATAAACCACATCAAAATGACAACTAAAATACAGAACAACCATCATCCAAAACCGCCTGAAAGCTGGCTGAATGGAGGTCCTGCAACTAGGGAAGTAAAGAAGAAAGCATACTGAGACCGGTAGGAGGGGCAGAGGCATGGAATGGGCTGGTCTGACAACCACATGCGCCAGTTTTTTTAATTGGGAGGGAAATTGTCTCTGTGGAGGCTGCCTATGAGGAGCAAGGGGTTCCAGCCCAACACCAGCCCCCCAGCCCATGGTATCAGAGCTGGGAAGAGAAGTTACTGCAACTTTGGGCTGTAAAAACCAGCTGGGATGTGACCGAGTGACACAGAGCCTGCTAGAGACCTAGGTGTTCCATTTAAAGGGCTGGTGCACAAACTTACTCAAACTTACAGCACTGGGTGGCTTTTGGGGGACCCAGACACATATGGGAAGGAACTGGATTGTCTGGCATAGGGGCAGAAACTCCAGGGTGGCTTTCTCCCAGACAGGAGTGCTTGCAGTAGTCATCCTTCCTGTACCGGAACCTCCTCCATCACAGGGCTGACTGGCAGCCATATCTGAGTCTCCATCAGCTTGGAGCACACTGTTTTCTCTGCCCTAGGGATTCCTTGAGATGCACCTTATCCAATTTGCAGCACCACCCAAGCTATTTGCAACAGCTTTTCCATATGAATGGCCGGTCCTTGTTCAGGATTCAGACTTTGCTAAAATCTCTCAAACAAGCAGTAGCTGGTGACAGCATGCCCCAAACCTATTAATACAAGGCCTAAGACCTGGTATTAGGACTGGCCTGACTTGCTTCACAACTGGGCCTCTCCTGGGCACTTCCAAGCCCAATATAAGTATCAAATAGTGGCCCTCTGCAGATCCCTCTGTAGCTCCTGACAGGTGGCCCCAGGCAGTG